GAGTGTGTTTGTGAGTGAGTGAGTGAGTGAGTGAGTGAGTGAGTGTGTGAGTGAGTGTGTGAGTGTGTGAGTGAGTGAGTGAGTGAGAGTGAGTGAGTGTGTGAGTGTGAGTGTGTGTGTTTTGAAACAGGGTGCAGTGACCGACCCGCTAAAGATGAAGACTTACTGACGGCAGATCGCGTAGTGCTTTCATACATTAGTCCGGTTCGCTTCATACGCCGTCGTGCATCACATTGGTCATGTTTAATCATGTATTTATTCTCTATTTAAAGCCACCAGCTCAGGCTTCGCAATAACGTCAAGAAAACTAACCAGCTTTAAGTTGCCGCATTGGTACACACTTAGTGTAAAGAGTTGATGGGTAAACCGAAGAAGCACTTACGATATTAATCTACAACTGTTTGACTTTCTTCCAAAGATCACAATTAGATTCTGGATCCGAAAAGCACTTATTTACCGGTAAGTGTCTTCATGATCCGTAACACTACGTTCTGTTGGCGTGCTTCATTCAGTCGTTCGTTTGGATTAAATACGTCTGCAGATTTCATTGGCATCCGTGTGCAAAAACCCATTCATTTTATTTGTCCAGTTTATAAACGAAATAATATATCCCTCCCCTCCCAATAAATCCTTGGGAAAGCCATGCACGTTGTACCTTGGACTGATCCCATCGAGACAACAGAATGTAATCAAGCATTTTATTCTGAGATGTTCTGTTCGCTGTGCTGAAAGGACTTTGTAAATGTGTAAACGTGTTTCTCCTAATTAGTGTTAGCACTTCAAGTCTTCATTAAATGATATAAAGTGTTGCTAGTTGTTGCATTCGTTTTTATTTCAATAAAACACACAAGGGAAGCTAAAGTAACGTGACGTGTTCGTATGGTTTTCAAGCAGCAATACTGCATTCTATAAAACAACTTGGGAGGAATTAAGTTTCCTACCATATATTCAGGCCTATGAAGTTTGTCCATGAGAAAACAGTCTCCACCAATAAACATGCCAATATACGCCACGGCAACATTCTGAGAGAAAACACAACTTACAAAATGCAACGCCTTTATCCACCTTATTTTTCCTGTACGTTTTACGAAGGAAAATGTTTAAGGACAAATAAAGAACATTTAAGGAATTAATGGAACACAACACATCAATAACACTTCAAAGTTTGAAAATACAACTTCTAACCAATCTCTATTACTTGATTTGCTCTGATTTGAGGCTTTAATTTGTGAAAAAAGAAAGACTTTAGGACGCACAGAAACTATTTGTGACCCTGGAGCACAAAACCAGTCATAAGTGTCCATTTTTAGATGTATGCTTCATCTGAAAGCTGAATAAATAAGCTTTCCATTGATGTATGGTTTGTTAGGATAGGACAATATTTGGCCGAGATGTTGAATTATTATAAAATCATCATGAGTCAGACTCACCCCATGACACAAGACAATAAAAAATGAAATCTGAACATAAGAGACATCCATCCTTCAAAGCTTAGAGCCTAAAAACAAGAAAAGAGGAAATCTTATGAAATCTGTGGGAGTTCTTGTCTGTAGAGTGTGGTTTTCTTCTCTCACCTTCTGTAGATCTCCAGTGTAAGCGCTCGCCCGGACGGTCGGGATCATAATGATGAACACAACCCCATATTTACCAAGACCCTGAAACGACAGACAGCAAATAAAACAACGAATGTGTGTTTGAGTTTAACAGTTAAAGTTGTAGTTTACACAGAATGACTTTCAAGTGTATTTTTAACCAAAGTGTAAAAATTAATCCGTGTCATTTGATTAAGACTAGTCCACAGATAACTCAAGCTGTCGTATATACATCCATCCCGAGTTTTTCTTGGTGTAAACTCCACTAGCGGCCGTGAAGACGTCGTTCAGCAGAACAAACGTGTAACCTTCTGCATTGAAGGACAGGTCCGAACTGAAGCAGTGGGCTCAGAGTTAATAAACATAAACATACGTCTTCATTTGCATGTGTTTGAATGCTCTGCGTTCATGTACCTGGCTGCAGTCAGAGAGCCTACAACTACAGCCAGAACACTGCACACCAGTGACGGAGCGAACGTTTTCCTGCAAATAGAAATGTTATATATATATATATATATATACACACTGCTGTTCACAAGTTTGGGATCAGTAAGATTTTTTTATGTGCTTTACAGAAGTCTCTTCTCATCAAGCTTGCATTTATTTGATCAGAAATACAGAAAAAAATGTACAATTTTGAAATATTAGCATTTAAAATAATACTTTTTGTCAAAGGCCTGAAAATGGATGGCTTTGTTCATTTTGGCGACATACAGAATGATGATCGTAGCTGTCATCTATAAATAAACAAAATACAGCCAGATTCGTGTTATTAAAAATAATTGTAACTTTAACAAACCCATGGAGGCTTTTCAAATGCATCACAAAATGAGAAAACATGGAGAGAATCATGAATCATTTATTTTCACTTTTTAACCCTCCTGTGGTGCCTGGGGTCAAATTGGCCCCAAAGCAACTTTGAATTCTCTAACAAAAAAAAATATAATTATATTTACTAAATGTATAAGACAAATTCATAAACATGCACATCTTGTGTTACAAAGGTGTTAACCCATTTAATCCCACCGGTCACAATAGTAGCCGAAAAGAAGGTTTACATTTATAACGCTCTAAAAATGTTACTGACTGGTGTTTTAGTGCATTTTCAGCAAATATGGAAAAAATTAACCGTCTCAGTTAAATATGTGCAGTGTCACATGGTTAGTGTAAATTGTCACATGACCAGAGCAGTTTACTTCATGAGAAGCTGCATCAAAGCTCCCAAACAATAATTATATGTAACATATTATACATGTTACAATAAAGTAACAATTCTGAAATGCGTGGATGGTTATATTTTTGTCTTTTATCTCAGTGTTCCTATCAGTGTTGTATAAGTGTTTTTATGCATAATGTGAAGAAACAGTTTAAAATATACTTTTATCTACTATTTCATACAAACACTGTGCACACGTAATTACAAGCATCTATCAAAAATTATTGTTTTTTGTGTTTCCATATTATACAGGGACTTTCCATAGACATCATAATTTTTATACTGTACTAATTGTATTTTCATTCCCCTAACCCTCACACAAAACTTTCTGCATTTTTACATTTCCAAAAAAACAAGCGTTTTCAAGCTGTTGCACTTTGACTCCACACATTAAAAACATGCCCTTAAAGACTGAAACTGGTGAAATAGTAGAGTTTAGTTACTGTTAGTTAGCTAATAATTTGCTGTAAGTTCGGTCTGTTCGTGATTCCGCCGCTAGGTGGCGCTCCAGCATCTTCTTCTGTCTTCTGTACAGGATGTTATACTTTATTGAGTTTATATCTGAGACTCTACACGCCACAGTTTCTGTACAGAGCACATTCAGGGCTTTTCAGAGATATTAAATGTTTGGAGGTTTGATTATAAACTCCCTCTCCTTGGTCTTTAATTATGACTGATATTGCACCAGATGTAGCACTCTTAGGGAAATATGATCATGTTTTGTAATAATCATTTAAATCTGGATCATTTTCAAATTGTTCGTCGTAAACAAACATCTCAGAAAAATGTTACGGGGTTTCAAATCGCAAATATGACACTTTGTTACGAGACGGTGGAGAAACATCATGTTACTCAGGCATTTTGATGAAAACACAACAAGAAATTATTGATCAGTGTTCCTATGAAATATGAGATATTCTTATGATAATGTTGACAAGTTATTACTTCCATTATAACTCTTATGGTTCTACATTAATATGCAAATTAGATGCAATGTATCGATACATTGTATAGAATGGGAATTCCAATTTATGAACATTTTAAGCACATATTCCATAAAGTACAGTAGTATATCAAATCATTCTGTCATATCTTTCATAACAGTTGAGAATCATCTTTTGGCCAAAAACAGCCTAAAAACTGATCGGCGAATTAAAAAAATGCCTTTTCATGTCTATTTAGTTTGAATAACTCAGTCCTGGCGTCCTCTAGAATAAAATGTGAATAAAATATATTTTTTCAAAAATGTTTTTTTTTCTCCATTTGTTTCGGATGCTCCAACCATGACATAAAGAACAACAAAATTCACAAAACCTGTTTTTTCTGGGTCTCAGGAGGATTTAGGGAATAGTGAACAAGTCAAAGATCTTTAAAGGTCCCCTGAAATGCTGCAGCGTTACTCTGTGTTGACGTCATTTTAACTGAAACAGGAAGACAGGGCGGGACATATCAAGCAGCCCCGCCCCTTTTTAAAAATAGCCAATAGCGTTTGTTTATATCACAGCTTGGGCTAGAGACGTTCAGAGCCGTTGAGCTTCGTAAAGCCGCATTTGACAGCCACACTCTCATCCATATTGCTATAAAATATAGCATTCTGTGTAGAATTTCTGAGGCCTGTGTCTTAAGAACTAGTTAGACCAGTCTACCTTCGATTATGTCATGATCGGCCTTGAAGAAACTTTTTGAGACTAGTTTAAGCAGTTGATATTTTTATGTGACTAATCAAACGTGACTCTTGGTGCAGATGGTCAGATTATTAGATGGCGTCTCAAACGATGGAGAACATGTTCATCAGGTTTAGTTCTTGTAGATCCTGACAGTGCTGCTGTCATCAAAACGAGAGACACACCAAACACTGAGACATGTTCGGTTTCACATAAATTACTCGGCTTAAAGGAAGAGTTCACCCAGAAATGAAAATCCTGTTTATTTAGGCTATACACCACCCTCATGTCGTTCCTCATGGCAGA